TGACAAAAAACACATATTGTACTGCCATAAAATAACAGCAGAAGAACAAAAAAAAACAGATGTATTGATGATAGGAATAGTACTAAAAATGTATGTTTCGTTGTTGTTTTTGTTGTCGTGGTCGTAGTGTGCATGAATAAATAAAAATGGGTTATCGTAATTACCATCCGCTATGGTCCAGCGTATTTCACTGGTTATCGGATCAATCGCCGTCAATCCGCCCCCTAACGTTGAAAATACCATTAAGGTCTCCTCATCACGGGCCAGATCGGTACAGCCCTCCTAGAAAAAAAAACAGAACAACAAAAAGTACAAAATTATTTACGTTCTTTTGTTAATACCGGTATTCCAGAAATTGTCAATAAAAGAAATTCTTCCATTGGCAGTTATCTTTTGATAAAGAAATGTGTGTGTGTAAGAAAAACAGAAAAGCATGAAATACAACAGACACTAAGAGATGTTCGTACGTACCTTCGCTTGACTCAGACCATTGCCACCATTCACACCATCATTATCATCATCATTTACAACAACACCACTATCTTTTTGCGAAGTTGTTGCTGTTGTTGTTGTTGCGGCCGCCGTGGCTGATGCAATAACAATTAACAAAACAAAACAGCGAAATAGAAGCAACGATTTGCGAAAAGATTTTTGTTTTTTATTGCCCGAAACCGAACCGCTGCCGCCGTTCTTCATTAGCACCGCCATTACCATGTTAAAGAGAATTGCGTAGAGTAGATTTGTTGTAAAATTATTTTGTTTTCGTTCATTCACATTAATAAGCCACTAGAATTTGTTGTTGTCGTTGTTTTTTCTATAGTATTCTTTTCATCATTTATTTTATTTATTTCTTTTTCTTGTTAATTCACATTTATTGTCATGTAAAATAGCACAGCACTTGTTGTTTGGTGTTAACAGAGAATTAATTATTTTTCTTTATTTATAAATTAACTTCTTTTTTTGCACATTTTCTAGCTTTCCAGAAAGAAAATAATCATTTTCCAATTGTCAAAATAGAACTGTCGAAAAAAGCTGGTGTCGTTTGACACATCTGCATTGCGTTTCGACAAGCATATGCTTGACATTCACATGGAGTTGCCAGAATGTTATTTTTAATGAATGTCAACTTCGGTATTCGTGGTTTTATATTTACCGGGATCGGTGTTCAGAGTTTCTCTCTCTTGAGAGAGTAATTAGAGTTGCGCTATTTTTAATTTTGTAACAAGCGTACTTTTTGTTCACAAAAGGTACGAATTGACATAAACGTACGAAAACAAAAATTAGATTTTTTTATTATTCGTGAATACATTTACGCTTAAATCATAATATATATTACACTGTGCTACAAAATAACAAAAATTTTTTTCAGGGGTTCTAATGTACCAATTCTGTTTATTTGGAGTCTCTGGACCACGAAAATACCTTTGGTTTTTCTGGGTCACTTCGAAAATTTATTTTGTAACGGTAAATATAGAGAAAAACGTGGTTTCATGGATTTTCAATTTAAAACTCGAATAACTTACTTTTTAACAGATTTATATTATTCTTTTTTTTCTTTCGAAGAGTACAATTTTTCCTTTCAAACAAGCAGATTCATCCCACAAATCTTAAATTTTAAATGCAAAATGCATATTTTTCAACAACTTATTTTAACCCTTTGTGGCCCAATGTTGCCCACAGGCAACAAAATATTTTAGAGCTTATATTTAAAATGCTGCTAGTAGATATATATTCTTTGGCTTTCATATGTCAAGATCTGATTATGGAAGACACATTTCGCAAGAAAAAAAAAATCATTTTTTTGGTGAAGTTATGAGCTCTTTAAAATAGAGAAGAGGGAAAATAGTGTGTACAGTACTAATTTGTGTATACAGCCCTAATTATTTAAATCGCTTCGTATTCGAAATGTACGAATTCTGCCGTCAGAATTATTTTTCGATTCTTGTAAAACAGAATATAGAGAAGAATTAAAAATAATTTTTTCGTCGATTTTGCATTTGGTTTTCTTGATATTGGGCTTTTATTATTCAGAAAGAATGTACTGTATCTCCCGAGTGCATAGATGTAGCGATTTTGTGAACAGAAAATTGATCTATTATTACGCAAAAAAAATTCGGGGCTCAAAGGGTTAAAATATTTTCTTTATATTTCGAAATATTACACATTTTTTTCCATGGTACAATTATAAAAGGTAACAGCAAATCCCAGCTGATTTGATTTCCAACGTAATACTAGTGTTAATATGAATTTGACAAATTATGTTTTTAAAAATAACCCAACAGGAAAATTGGGAACGCATACAATTTGAAATTGTTCTTTATTTATGTGCTCCCGTATTCAATTTACTCAATCTGCCTGCTGGGAAAGTTTGAGGAAGCAAATCTTTCTTGAAGGAATATCTCGCTATTCCCAGCATTGTCATATGTGTTACACATATATATGGCAATGGCTCAATTAAAGGAAAGATGTGGAAGCGATAGAAATATTAATTTGATAGATTTTCATTCATGTTTTTCAATTTTTATTTTGAGGATTCGAAAATATTCCATTTTCAAAATAAAAATAATTTGATGATAACTTGTTTGTTTGTTTACATTTTTCTGTCAAATGAGTTGACACTAGTAGAACTTACAACAACAAATGTCCATGTGGTTGTTGTATCGTTTTTTGTACAACAACACTTGCTGTTACCTTTTATTATTATACCATGATTTTTTTCAAGCTTTTTGTGTATGGTTTAGACAAAACAGCTACTACCAGAAAACTTTTTAATTTGATATAGTTGTTTGTTATAATAAATTGCTGATGCGGCTACCTTCTTAGGTCTACCTTGGTTGGAATTATCATTCCATGGCCTATAAATAAGGTCACCAAGGGCCTATAAATAAGGTCACCAGCTTATTATCGATACCTCTCAAGTTTTCTGTCAAAATGCATTATTGTGAATTGACTTCCATTTTGAAAACGTAAACAATGTCGAAATTTTTGACATTAGACTTGAGAAAAAACAGCTGTTTTCCGATTTCGATTGCTATCCTTATTAATAGATCTTGTATCATTCTTTCGGGAAAAGAAAAAACTAGAGAATCTCAGGGTTCCAGCTGAGGTTCAATGTACAACTGCTACCGGTAGACCGATGCAAATTCGACTAAAAATTTGATTTTTTTGTTATTGGTCTGTTCCAGTACTTTTTCAATAGTAATGCTAGTAAAAGGGAAAATTTTCAAAATCGCTCTCAGAGTACAAAATAATTTGAAAAGTTCGGGAACGCAAATCTAGTACATATGCCAAAATTAGATGGAAATACTTCAAAATCCTGTTTACCATTTTTACTAGGCCAAATTTCTCAAGTAAAAATGTTTATAAAGAGAACGCCATTTTGTATTGTGCTCTCTTAAATTTGATTCAATATTTTACTAGTTTTGTGGTTGCAAAACTCAAAACTTGTAAAATGAGTAGATTCTTTTAGGTTCCGGAACGGACCTTTTATAAATGTGTTGTGTTCGTGTTTTTGAGATTTCAAATTTCAATACAAAAAAGTCGATTAGTCGGAAGTCGATTTACTTATCCCAAGATCTATTAATAAGGTCACCAAGATAGCAATCGAAATCGGAAAACAGCTGTTTTTTCTCAAGTCTAATGTCAAAAATTTCGACTTTGTTTACGTTTTCATAATGGAAGTCAATTCACAATAATGCATTTTGACAGCAAACTTGAGAGGTATCGATAATCAGCTGGTCTCCCTTGGTGACCTTATTTATAGGCCATGTTTTGTGTCTTTGCGCTCTTTCGTTCTATTTGTGCATTTTCATTTTAAGCCGGCATATTGCGAAGTGCATACCCGTTATTTTTATTTTCGTCGATTAAACGCGAACAAAGAAGGGCGTATTTATTTTCTTATCTAATCGAAAGAATATTTAAAGTACGAACTTTTCCGGTTGAGTGCATGTTATATTCGCAACAACAAGAAATTTTAAAAATATTCATCTACTTCTGTTCTATTTTTTTCAGTTCTGCCTACCACAATGAAAAGTGCAAATCACCATTTATTGGTAGGTTTGTTGTTGTTGGCTGTGGGGTTATGCGATGCAATCGATCAGAAGCGCCCCCATTATCGTAAAAGTTTCATTAACCCTTATCCGAGATTTCGTGAATTTGTAGACGGGGGAAATCCCGGTGAACCTCTTTTCCTAACTCCCCTAATTAACAACGGATCTATACCGAAATCGGTTATACAGGAAAAAGCCAAAGTTGTGGGATCCCAATATCATGGCGTGGAAAGCTATGCTGGGTTCTTAACAGTGAATCCCAGTTTTAACTCGAACATGTTCTTCTGGTACTTCCCAGCTGAAAATGATTCTGCTTATGCTCCTGTAGTTTTGTGGCTCCAAGGTGGTCCCGGTGCCTCATCCTTATTCGGCCTGTTCACGGAGAATGGTCCATTCGAGTTTGATGAACATGGCAAATTGCAGAAACGCAACTACACCTGGAGTAGAACCCACAACTTGATATTCATTGATAATCCTGTGGGAACGGGTTTTTCATTTACCGACCGTGACGAGGGTTATGCTAAAAATGAAAAAGATGTGGGTCACAATCTACACGAAGCCATGCAACAATTGTATGAACTATTCGAGTGGAGTCAAGATTCCGGATTTTGGATAACAGGAGAATCGTATGCTGGAAAATACGTACCCGCATTGGCCTATCACATTCATAAGGTTCAAAACTCCATTGATACCCGTGTTCACATACCGCTGAAGGGTGTAGCAATTGGCAATGGTCTTTCCGATCCGATTCATCAACTCAAATATGGTGATTATTTGTATCAACTTGGCTTAATCGATGACCATGGATTGAAAGAATTCCATAAAGCCGAGGCGGCTGGAGTTAAATGTATTGAAAAACACGATATGGATTGTGCTTTTGACATCTTTGATAATCTTCTGAACGGCGATATGGTCAATGGCTCGTTATTCAGCAATCTGACCGGCTTTAATTACTACTATAACTATTTGCATACAAAGGGTGATAATTACGGTCAAATCATGGGTGATTTTATACAATCAAGCACCACAAGACGTTCCATACATGTCGGCAATTTGACATTCCACGATTTGGATACCCAAAACAAAGTGGAATTGTTCTTGAAACGTGATGTCATGGACACAGTAGCACCTTGGATTGCAGAGCTTTTAAATTATTACACCGTTTGTATTTATAACGGACAGTTGGATATCATTGTGGCATATCCATTGACTCGTAACTATTTAAATCATTTGAAATTCAAAGACGCCGATCTGTACAAAGTGGCGAAGCGTGAAATATGGCGTGTTGATGATGAAATTGCCGGTTATGTTAAACATGCCGGACATTTGGTTGAGATCATGGTACGCAATGCAGGACATATGGCACCGACCGACCAACCCAAATGGTTATTCTGGATGATTGATCATTTAACTCATTACAAGAAGATTGCATAAATTGTATGTAATACAATGCAAATATGCACTTACACAATATCTATTATCTCGTTTTGTTTTATTTTATCTCATTTTATTTTTCTTCTAAAATGTAAATATTTTTTTATTTAAAAGAAATATATTCACTAACATATATGTATGTATCTATATTGGAATAAATAAAAAATTGGATTGTTAAAAATGTGTGTTAATTTTGAAGGGCTTTGGTGGATTAACAAATTAACACAATAATACAACCAAAATGTCCTTTCGGCATTTTATTATCTTGATCCGATTTCTCGGCTAACAAATATCGCTTCAGTCGGCTGCGAGAGAACAGCAGCATAGAACAAAATTGATAACATACAACAAGTGGTCGTACTGCAAGAATCTACAACATTTTACTACGATAACGAATTTTCCTTTATTGTAAAATCTAGTAGGTTCTTGCAGTACGGGAACAGACCAGAAACGTTTTATACAGAAGAAAATTTTTGGGAAGCTTCTCCATAAATGGATCTGCAATGGGAATTACTGTCGATTCGATTTTAAAATGTGAATAGAAACTTCAAAATTACGATGATAAGGGTTATACAAAAATTAATTATTTTGAGAATTTTTTGCTTGGACCTTTTTAAACCACTGTGAATCAAGAATCCCCAACTGCTGAAAATTCGGTTAGAACATTTGGACCAAACCTTTAAAAACACAATAAACGGACGATTTTATGTTATCGTATCCAGACAGTTAACAAAAAATTTATCAAGGATATTTAATTCTCACAATGTATCAATAATTCCGAAAATACCTTCAAAGACCACGAAATAAGTAATCCATTATTAAGAAAATAAATTCACACTTTGGATTATAAATAAAAATAAATATAACACATGAATAAGTAATATTAATTACTTTTCCTTTATTTCTTGTTTCAATATAATCTCTAAGCCTTTAAAACCACGAGCTACAAAAAATTGCTCAGCTGAATCGTCTCGACTAGATCTGGGTTTAACACGTTTCACTTTTTCATAGAATCGCTGAATGTCTTTCTCCATTCTAGGCACATCGCCGTTATCCCACACTTTTACTACAAGATTTGCCTGAGGAGCAGACATAATCAGAGCAAAACGCAAGACATCGTAACATAGATTAACAATAGACTCTTGATCCAAAATGCGTACACCTGTAGCATTTGGCGCCATATCGGACAGTACACAATTGACTTTTCTACCATTTAGGGCTTTTGTCAGTTGTTGTTTGCTTTCCTCTTTGGTAAAATCCATTCCACCAAATATTGTAGCTCCCTGCCGAAATCGAATTGAATTAATTCAAAAAATCATTATTCTATAGACATCTGTTACATACCGGAACACTGTGAAAATGCAGTAAATCCATACTGAAAACAGCACCCTTTGGTTTCTTCTCCATGCGCCCATTCGCATTACATTTTTCTACTGCTACTTGCGTCCAGCTACCTGGTGCGGCACCACAATCTATTACACAATCGCCTGGTTTTATAATATTGTATTTTTCATCGATTTCCAACAGCTTGAAAGCACTGCGGCAACGATAATTCATCATTTTAGCCTTTTCCACATAAGGATCGGCCAATTGCCGGGTAAGCCATTCTTGTGAACTCTTACTTCGACCCTTTAAATTTTTGGGAATCTGTTTGGCACATAGTCTGGTGCATGTGGTTAACGTTCTTCTGATAATCATGGTCACTGTCATCTTGTTCCACTGGCCATTGACTGTTGTCCCTTGTGTCCAGCCAGCAAGGGTAGTTAAAAAGTACAATGCCGTTTCTAAAGTTTTGACGGCGTTGTGGAATTTGACGAAATTGAGTCAAAACGTAACTGATAAAAGCCAGAATCAAAATAAACACCGATTAGGATTAGTGTCTCTAAGGTCGAAAATCGGGCCGAATAGGGGAATCAAAACAAATCGACCGATTAATATCAGCTGTTGAGGGGATCAAACAGCTGATCGAGGACAAACCTCGTGTTTACGAATGAGAATCAAAACAAACGAGAGGAGGACCAACCAACAGCTGATCACAATTTGAACAGTTGATCAGCTGTTTGCAGTTCCGGAACGAACTAGTTCATTGAATGACACTTTACTATAACATGATAGCACATTGTTCGATAGACTATAAAATAAGAGCATTTACGTTCTCGTTTACATCGTACTGGATTTAACTAAAAGGATTTAATTAAATAGTATAATAAGTAGTAAACTAAGTTTGAAATTGTTCAGTAGGGGAACATAATTACATTACATAAAATCACACATATAGATATTTTTAATTTATTAAAATTAAAATATTAAATTAAATTGATTGCACTTATCAGGTTCGTGCGCCTTCTTTAATTTTAATTTACGCTGTTTTAAAATCGATTATTTGTATAGGTTCTGAATGATTTCCATATAATAGATATAATAGCCCCAATTTTACTTGTGGCAAGTAGACATCTGCATGAATGTACCCATGATGCAATAATAAGGTGATGTATCAAAACAAAAACCTTTCTTTTTGTCTTGATTATCTGTCAAATTTGTCCATATAATATTTCAAATGGTTGGCAACACTGCACATCGAATTCAAGTAGAAATTACCCACTTTGACAGTTAATCAAGACATCAGATGCGCTAAATGCACTACCTATTCATTGTGCCATGAATGTACCCTTGGTATAATTATTACAAGGTAGGGCACAGCTACCAACTGATTACAATTTTTTCTCAAGGTGGCTTGTTCCATCAAATCAAAATACATATATTGTTTTGAATACAATGTCAAATAAATTTAAATATATTCAAGTTTAACTGAAATGAAAATAAAGTTTTTAACACGTTCGTCTGGAAGTAATTACTTTGTTATGGATGGAACCATGATGCAATAATAAGCGGTGTACACACTATCATTTTTGAATGGCACTCTTGCTGAAATATCAGTCATCAGGCAACCACAAAAATTTTTATGGTTGCGTGACAATCAGATGTTGGATGTTTCTTGGTTCGATAATGTGAACATAAAAAATGGCAGTCGGACATTCGACATTAAAATTAAATCGTATGGAGCATGGCCTATAAATATGGTCACCAAGGGAGACCAGCTGATTATCGATATCTCTCAAGTTTGCTGTCAAAATGCATTATTGTGAATTGACTTCCATTATGAAAACGTAAACAAAGTCGAAATTTTTGACATTAGACTTGAGAAAAAAACAGCTGTTTTCCGATTTCGATTGCTATCTTGGTGACCTTATTAATAGATCTTGGTATGGAGAGCTGCTACATATAATGAAAAATTATAAAAGAAATTGTACTGTGGACGACGTGAAAAACAAAATAAACAACATACGTTCATCCTACAGAAGGGAACTCAAAAAATAAAGCAATCTGAAACATCTGGACATTCTGAAATAGTTTTTAAAGTCCATGGGCTCAGAGTATAGAATTTCTTCGCCCATTTCGTTCTTTTAATAACTTTCTTTTCGCCATCTTACAACGCAATTATTAAAAATGCTCACCCAATTTTTTTGTCATCCATTTTTATTAATATATTTCGTTTTTACGGTGTCTTTTTAGCACAATTTATACATTTGAATGTCGGTTTGAAAAAAGCCATGAATGTAATATGGCCGCTACAAACAACACAACAAAACTGTAACAACCGATAAGTTATCGAAACTGTCACTCAAAAAAGATAGTGTGTAAACCGCTATAAGGTGATGTATCCCAACAAAAATCTTTGTTTTTGTCTCGATCATCTGTTAAAAATTTCCTTATAATATTTCACATGGTTGGCAACATTGCACATCAAATTCAAGTAGATATTACGCACTTTGACAGTTAATCTAGACATCAGCTGCTCTAAATGGACTACCTATTCATTGTGCCATGGATGGAACCATGGTACAATAATACTAGGTAGGGCAGCTTGAGGTGAATAACAAAAAAACTATGCACGTGTGGCCTCTTCTGCCAAAAATAAAAAAAATATACGCAACAAGTGTTTGTGTTTATTTGACATATTTTCAACACAAAACTAAAAACGCGAAAAATGAATGAAAGGTTATAATTTCTTCCAAAATCCAGTAGGGAATTTATTTATTAGTCTATGGACAAATTCGTTATCGTAGTAAAAACTAGTAGATTCTTGCAGTACGGGAACAGACCATATATAATACAAAGTGTTGTACTTAATATCATGAATTTAAATATATTAGAATTTTACTTTTCAATGTTTCACGATTCATAGAAAAATCGAATAGCTAGTGGTACATAATTGCGAGTAGCTCTTTGGAGAATATTGAAGCAAATATTGTTGATTAATGCATTCAACATTTTCCTTCGGTTTTTTAAAGTTGGCAGCTTGATGAGGGAAATTCTATCTGTATATGATGGAAGATTATGAATCGAAAAGTATAAGTTCCGTAAACAGAAAGGTAGAAATTGCTTTTGAACGGACTCGATGCGATCACTGTGTGTAATATATATACGATGCCATATGATCGAAGAGTATTACAGTATAGGACGAACGTGCGTTGTGTATAAACTAATTATTCGTCAATTGTTTTGCCGCCTCCTTAAAGCGTTGTTGCCCACAGGCATATCGTTGCCAAAAGGTAATATTATTTACCACTACTCAACTCACCAAATGAACATTGAATATATTACTAATGGTGTTTTTACACGATATGTATTTTACATATGTGCTGTCACTTATTTCATCCATATGTGTGTCAAAATTAGCAGTGTACACAAAACATTTATTTTTGTGTTCAAATCGGCATATGTATTTTACATATGACATAACCTATAAACAAAAAACACTTTTATTTTTTCTTAAATCAACATCATTTTTTTTATTAAACACCTACAAACGAAATAATAATTTGTAGTTGTTGCCTTTTCATCCCTTTTTTTTTTTTTTGAATTGCAATTGAAATATTTTCTTCCAACAATGTGTTTCATTCAAACAGCTGATTTCCTTATGTTTCACATACGAAAATAGAGCGCGTCCTATTCAAAAAAAAAAAAATACATATGTAATTGCATATCGTTTTGACACATTGAAATTTCCGTATGTTTCACATGACGAGTTCGATTTCCATATGTAAAAAAGTGACAGCACATATGTAATATACATATCGTGTAGAAACACCATAAGAAAACCTCCTCTGTGTTTTCATTTCTTTTACTTTCACCGCAAACTGCGCTATTCGTACACCCATTCCCTACGGTCAGCTTCAACCCCTGTTTTTCGTCCCTCGAAATGTGTATCCTCCACATCGGTTGGAGTCCAAAATCGACAATTGGATTTTGTTTCTTTAAAATCGTTACAAAAAATGTCAAAGAAAAAATTGATAACATTTATTAATAAAAATTTATTGGAAAATAATGTTGCAAAGCGACCTTCACAAAAAATAGGTCACGCGACAAATGCAAAGAAATCGCATTTCGCTCAACCCTCGAATATCGTTTCGGGAAAATAATCGCTCAATTGAAGTCCGAATCTGTAACTGCAGATTCATTTGCGGATTCATACTATTATATGTCGTTCATTAATAAAAACTCGATTGAAGCCCGAATCTGTAACTGCAGGTTTATCTGTGACTTATAATAAGCTATTTCGTAAATATGGCTTACGTAGGGCCCGAATCTGTTACTGTAGATCCATCTGCGGCCTTATATTACAAATTATGTAGCGGAGTTGGATCCCGAATCTGTTACTGCAGATTCATCTGCATTTCCACTCCCTACATTTTGCTCGAATTGCTCACACTGCACTATACAGATATGGTACCTATTACTTAAAAATATATACTCCTATTGTACCTATTGCTTTGAAACAAACCTTGATGTTTCAAAGCGGTCGGAATGTTTAATTTAGATTTGTGCATGGCACAATGAATAGGTAGTCCATTTAGCGCAGCTGATGTCTTGATTAACTGTCAAAGTTGGTAATTACTACTTGAATTCGATATGCAGTGTTGCCAACCATTTGAAACATTATATAGAAAATTTTGACAGATAATCGAGACAAAAAGAAAGGTTTTTGTTTTGATACATCACCTTATTATTGCATCATGGATTTGTGTAGAAATAATACTTTTTTATTGACCCCTGTTGTGATCTTCAGTTATTTGTTAAAATGTATGCGCTACGGTTTAGTGCAGTTAGTGGGTTAGCGCTTTTATTTGTCACTTGTTTTGCCGCCTCCTTTAAGCATCATAAGTACCATACTGTCATTCGGACAGACAGCACGCATATTGTTGCGCACAGGCATATCGTTGCCAAAAGGTAATATTGTTTACCACTACTCAACTCACCAAATAAATATTGAATATATTACTAAGAAAACCTCCTTTGCTCGACGCATTCGGCGTATCGACTGCCATCGGCGGAGTCCCTCTGAGCTAAACAATTTCAATTTTTGTTATTAATTATTTATTATATTTTTAATAAAAATATTATATAAAAAATTTTGATGTGAAGATAGAAGAAGACGAAACCTTAATATCATTTGACGTAGTGTCGTTGTTTCCCAGCGTTCCAATAAACTTAGCAATTAAAACGATCGACGAAAAATGGAATATACTGAAGAACTATACCAGGATGCCGAAAGATTTATTTATTGAAATACTGACTCTTTGTATAAAAGATTCCAGATATTTTATATTTCAAGACAAGGTGTACGAACAACGCAA